CCAAACATAATTCTCATTCATCAAGGAATAACAAGTGTAATATCCACTAAAGCAAAGCTTAAGTATATAACACCAACAGGGCGTGCGTTGACGTCCCCTCGGCCACTGAAGAAATCAAGTCGGGAGGACTCACTCGAGGATTACTCTCGGGATTATGCAGAAACTCCTTGGCAAAACGACCCGGGAGGACGTTCGATGAGGTGTTGGGAAGATGCGCCAAGTACATGAATGTCGAGGAAGCTGAAGCTGACTTTTTGCAAGCAACTAAAGCAAAAGTTGAGTCTCGGGACGTGAAGAAGGACAAGAAACCAATCGCGACGGGAGAAAGGAAAGGGTCCCCGAAGTCAGAAAGGGAGGGGCGGTCAAGGGGATGGAGGACAACTCAATATACCCCCCTGTCAGTGTAACACCCCGCTTTGACTTGAAAATCAAAGCGCGTTTTTCGCAATTATATTCAAAATAAAACCTTTTACATTGCGAAATACTGACTCGGAGTGCTACTAAAATACATAACTGACTGAAAAATCTAAACTTTTGGTTTTGAAAAACCAACTAACAGTTCGCCGACTGATTCATTTGACTAAGAGTGACGAACAGTAAAACATCAGCGGAAACTGTAGTGGTGAAATAGGATAGCAGTACCGTGATCGTGAAAACAAGTTATCTGAAAATAATAACGGCACTGCTATGCCAAATTCAAACTGTAAAAAAAATAATTTAAGCTTTATAAGCATAAAGCTTAGGCAATTTAAACTTTATAAGCATAATCTTGAACAGCTCCGTCATCTCACTCCTCCGTCCCGATTTCATGACATGAAAATCATGATAATAGTGGGAGCGTGAGTACTAAGAACACTGTACTCCGTAGAAACTCATACTAAAGTAAACATTAATAATAATATCAATATCATGACTACAGGTATATATAAGTAAACTGTAATCTCCAGACACAAGGTCTGTACTGAATTGGCCAAGTGCACACTCTGATGGGCAATTAAGGCTACTGCGCCTCCACCAGAACTCTGGATGGGCAATTAAGGCTACTGCGCCTCCACCCAATGTGGAATAACTGATATACATGCCTTAAAACATTATAGAGCAATTATAACCAATGCAATACCCAGTCTGAGTTCTCACCTGAACTGCTGGTTTGAAAATATAAGTGCTGATCATCTGGATCCTGAATAAACTGAAAATAATATAAACAATTACTAAATACTATGCTCAGACTGATAAAATAACTGATTAATATGTTAAGATGCTCTACTGGACTTAAACATAATATCTGGGCTTAACCGGTACAACCGGAACTGGATAAACTCGGAACTGAACTAACAAGAATTTACTGAACTGGACTGGACTGAAAATTTAACTGAAAACGGGACTGAAATCATTAACTGGGACTTAATATAATAAAATATAAAGAAACCGGTTTAAACTATTATAAATTAATCTGGTCGGACCGCCGGTCTGCTTGTACCGGTCGATCGACAACTAACTCGACTATTGGCATGGTCGTATGCACGCACCGGGCACAGACTGGGCGCTGCT